ATGTAAAACTGTAAGATTGAGAAATCAATAAACTAGGGAATAGTTGTGATTTGGATTTTCTTTTGTAAGTGTTTTGTTTTGTTTTTCTAACCAGAAGAAAATAATTTGCACCCTCTTCATGTAAAGTTTATTCTATTGTTTTAGATGAAAATGGTACACCAAAACAGTTGTGCTCACCAAAATTAATCAATGACAGCAGACCATTAAAGCGGCTAGCCTTCATCCGTGGATGAACTCCTACTATCCACTTACATCAACTCTTGCTTGTCCCCCAATGAGAGGAAGAGGCATTGTTGTATTGCTTGGGAGCCTAGCCTAGCAGAGCCATCTTGCCAGTCCGCTCGTTGCCTATTTTAGAACCTAGCCTGTCTCTTTGCTCTGGGATCACACATGTTCTTCATCTTGCTTAGCCGGGTAGCTGCACCCCCTCCCCTGCTATTTCCTTTCACCTATCAATAGAGCCAAGCCCCACATTTCAACAGAAACAATCCAAAACTCGCAGTTACCCTTGTCTCCCGGCTCCTCCTCTTCTCTTAGCTTAGCTTTTGGTACAGTCCGCTGCTTTGTCTGCTTCTCCTTCAGCCCAGACGCTTGTGTCCCTAACCCTACCCCTTGATGGCTTCTTCCGCAGCCATCCCACTCTACTCTTCTTGCTAGAGATTGAACGTGTGCTTCCTGCATTTTGCAAAGTATGTTTCTGATTACATATCCCAGCCAATTTCTTCTCCATACTCCAGTCTGACCTTTCTGTCTCTAATTACCTAAGTTATTCTACTCTAGAAGTACCGGCAACTTAATATTATTTGTATAATGTATATAGTGATACTGGCTTTCTCAGACAAGCGTTGGAAATTTAATGCTGGTTATGGTGTATAAACGCCTCAGAACAGCACAGGGCGTACGGCAAACACCGAATGGATGACAACTATAATCACCACTTGTTTTCTATTTCTTTCGCAGTCTGTCATCTAATTTTCTCTATAATGTATGATTTTCCTTTGTTCATAGCTGGAGCTCCCATTAGTTCTTAATTGTTAATTAAGATAAGCTTTGCAAAGGGAGGCATCTCTGTTTTGCTGCTCTGTTCCCTCCCGAACTGGTTGGTACCAGGCTGTACTTAAAGCAGTTAACTTTACAGCCCATGTGCTCTTAGAGAAGTAACTCCCTCTCTCCATGCTTCTGCTTCTTCACCTACAAGGATTCATCACTAGACTGCTGCAGGGGCTAAAAGTATCAACAGAAATAGATGCTTAGGATAGTGCAAAGCACACAGACCCAGAAAATACAGCCATTTTATGGTAACGCAGGGGCTATCCTTTTCCGGAAGGTCACGGAGTCAAAGCTTGGAAGTCACACGAAGAATGAAAACCCATTGCTGCAGATACCATATAACAACGACTCCTGGTACCAGAGCTTAGACTGGGGCAAGTTCAAATTATGGCAAGGGTCTAAGATACTTGAGCATGAAGAATAATGGCTCTGTCACCGAAGCTGAAGCTGCCTGCTTAAGTGTTTGTAAGGCTTACACTGGCAGATGTCAAGTGTCTAAACTCCTGCTATGAGCCACGTTCCCCTTGCTCTTCACCTTTAAGCATGTGAAAGCGTATTTATATTCTGATTTCAGAAGATTCTGTCATTTTGCAGAACATTTAGTAGAACGAGGCCTGGTCCTGAGTTTATTTTATTAGGTGTGAGTTATTACACATTCTGAGTTTCAATTACTTTGATTATAAAGTATGTTTTTAGAAGGGTTGTAATAGACTATACAGTCCTTTATACTGAGACAACGGATGACTATAAACTAACAACGGATCAGATATTCTTGAGTTTAAACACCGGGTATGTCACTGGCTGTTTATGAGCTATAACCCTCTCGACTTAACTTTCTGCATGTAAGAAGAGACTAATCATGCCCCCACTCAGCAGAGCAATCTAGCAACAACTAGAAAGGCACCTAGCACAGTCCTACAATAAGGTTTACAATAAGGATCGACTTCTATCAAAAGACTCTAGGTCTCTTGTCCTTCGCATATGACAATGTTGTATCTAGCAACCAGCATATTTACTTTATTCCCTGAATATTAAATATGCTTATAGCAACTATTAAAAAACAGGCTATGGAAAATGTTCCATGAAGTACAAAGAATAGCATATTTTAATAAATATTTGCAGACCTAATAAAATGTGTAGAGATTGTTTCCACATGGTGTATTTAGGGAAACAGGAAACGCTAAGATGGAGAGTTGAGAGAACTGCTGGTGCCCAGAGTTTAGAAGACAGACAAATGAGATTTTAGATGCTGCATGGTGATCCAGGAGAATAATATGATCAGATACTCTATTTGCAGAAAACACCACACGACTCAGTGCAGTGTACACACACACACACACACACACACACACACACACACACACACACACACACTTGAAAAAGGCAGAGTTCCCAGAATCAAAGATTTCAGTTCAGTTGCAGGGAAGGATTATACCCTGTGGCCTGACCCAGTTTGTGAAGTGAGGGATACGTTTTGACTGTTGTAGCCTAGAACACTGTGCACAGCATCCCCCAAGAAACTAAGAATTTGCTCAGTAAAATCAAACATCCTTCATTATGGTCTAAATGTTGCAATAAGACTACTATACATCGCAAAGTAAATGAGGTGTAGAAATGATAATGAATGCAAAATGATCCCTAAATGAAAGTCAGGGCTTTCTGAGTCATTCTGCTTTCGGTGTAGAATATATACATCTGGCCTCTGATGACGTCAGCAGTTTGTTTTGTTTTAGCTTGTCAATAACTAGACGAATACATTGCCATGCCATTAACTGTCTGACAGAGCCGTGATTTTCATTCAGAGAGTAAATTCAAAATTCCAAATGTTGTAGCTATATCAGTCAGGGAAATTGGGGTGCAGCTGGCAAGAAGGTAGGCAGAAGCAGCAAGGTTGGGAAGAAGCTCAGAGCTGAACACTGATGGATGCTCTACATCGGCATGACTTCAAAGGAGGCAGATTCCAGTGAGCTCCAAACGAGAAGCAGAACTCAGTGAGGGAAGAACCCGACCGACGAAAGAATTACTTCTGTCTTCAGAAGCATTCTGACTGCAGCAACTGTGGAGTATTCCCAGGTCCCCTCCTGCCAAGTGCTACAGTGGAATTTAGAAAGCCGATTCATCTCACATTTGTGGAGTGGATTTAATTATTAATTGATTGCACTGGCAATAAATAAACAACTTAATTAAGTGTGGTATGTTGCATTGCCTTTGCCTCTGTATGTCTTGTTACACTGGGCGAATTCTGCTTTCCAGATAACCTTCCCTTTTATCCCTAAACCTTAGCATAGTAAGGCTCTTCCTTCCTTCTTTTCTTTCTTTCTTTCTTTCTTTCTTTCTTTCTTTCTTTCTGTTTTTAGGGTTTTTTTTAATTATACAATATATTTTGGTCATATTTTTCCCATCACCCAGGTCTTCCTCAACTCCCTACCCACCTAACTTTATTCCTCTTTTCTCTTTCTCTTTCTCTTCGTTCCCCCCTCTCTATATATATATTTGTATACATACATACATATATATCATACATATTATATATAAAAGAAATAACACATTTTTTAAAAAAAAATTAAACAAAAGAAAACACCAAAACAAAATTGGGTGTAGTGGTGCACACCTTTAATGCCAGCACTCGGGAGGCAGAGGCAGGTGGATCTGTGAGTTCTAGGCCAGACTGGTCTACAGAAGGAGTTTGAGAACATCCAGGGTTACACAAAGAAATCTTGCTTCAAAAAAACCAAACCAAAATAAAACAAAAGCCAACATAGATTTGGCTTTGAATTGGCCAGCCTGCCTAGGTTGATATACCAAGAGACACTCCATTGGAGAAAACTGATTTTCCCTTTGCCAGCAGTTATCAATCACAAACAGCTTCTTGCTTAGGGGTGAGTCTGTGTCCACTTCCTATTTTCAGTGTTGGGAGTCCATCTGGCTTGAACCTGTATAACTTTTCTTTCTATGAATATTCATGGATTTAGGATTAATAAATTTCATCATCATTTCAAGTATACTATGTGACTACAGACTAGACATGTTGCATTATTAGTTTTGCAAAAGCCTAAAAAATATTTAGGAGGAACTGGTAATTTTGACTTCAGTGACAGATTTAATCTGCAGTAAAAAAAAAAAAAAAAAAAGCAGTCATTTCTACTGGTCATCTACAGACACGCACGTACAGCTCTCCTCTGTGCACAAGGCAGCTTGTAACTACCCATCACTCACCTAGAATGAGGACTTCCCTTTCTAGTAAGGGCCATCTGTACTCTATTCATCAAGACCTTCCCACTACTGCGAATACTGTTCTTGCCACTTTATAGATCCTCTTGTGAAATAGAATCGGAATCCTTTAGTGAGCATCCATGAGATTTCTCCAGGCCATTCTGAATGTGCTTTAAGCCTGCCTCCCTCTCTTTCTCTCGAAGTAGCAAAGTCATTGCCCCAATCCTTAAATGACCTCAACAAAACAATCTCCAAAGCTACTCAAAATGGGCAGAGTGTTGAGGCTCACCTTTGTTCCCAGGGGATTAGAATTCTCTTCAATTTTAATCAAATCTTACTTGATTTAAAGCTTTATTAATACTGATGCCACTATTATTCTTATATGTTAATAACTTTGCTATTTCTCAGGACAACTTCCTTGACGGATGTAGTTTAAGATTTTGCCATGACATATATCATCAAGCTGTAGGTACTTTCAGCAGGAAATACATGAAATATCAATTTCCATAGTTCAAAATATCAATTCACAAGTCTATGCAAAACAATCTATTTGAAACATAAACAATAGTTGTATAAATATATGTTTATATTATAAAATTACATATGTATAAAAATCTAGAAACTGTAATACATACTTAGCTCAATGTGGTTTTATTTGAAACACCAAGTTCACTCAATTTCTCCCTGAAGCTTGCTCTAGGTAGGACAGCAATGTGAACTTGTTAGCCAAGACTTACCTCTTCTTTTCTTGTCTCACGTCCTTTCTGCACAAACCAGACGACCTTCGCTTGTAGCGAGCGTGGGGTGCACTCCAGCAGCGTGCTGTTACTCTCGATACCATAAGCCAGCCTCTCTTCTGTCCGGTCCAAAGCGTCTCCTACAGCAGAAAGGCAGGAGCATCAGTAGTGAGACTGGAATTTTATTGCTAGATGGTTTTTATTATTTTTATTGTATTCAGGTCCAGCAGCAAGGTAAATAACTCTTTCCTGGCTGCTAATCACTACACAGTTCTGAAAAATGAGTTATTTGGAACACCATATGAAAACTTGGGGATTACAAAAGGTAACTACATGATGAAGTGGGATAGAAGGCGGCACCTGGGAAACTGGCTCCAGAACATGGACAGAGATAAAGTTAGAGACAACATTCTCTGGTAAGTCAAGGGCATGGCATGAGACCACGCGTTCCAAGAACGTGTCTGATTTTCTCAGGATGTTTTACATTCACTACGAAATTGATCTCTAAACTTCCTTTGATTAAGACCATACTTTCTCTTGCATATACTCCCAGGAACTGGAGTCCCTGCATGGAATCCAAATTTTACTGGGTCTAAAATAGTAGTAGCAATAATAATAATGATAATAATAGTAATAATAATAAACCTCTGGGTTGCAAGTTCTAACAGTAGGCATAACACCCGTTGACTATCCATGATGGCGGCCATCACCCTGCGCTTCTCGGAGACCCAATAACAAAACGAAGCTCTGTCATTGTCTATGACAATAGGACTGAAGAGATCGTTTTCCCCTGTTTTGTTTGACATTCTTGTTTTTGCCTAAATATGAAGATAGTTAATATCAGTTCTAAAATTACTCTGCTGTAGCAGAAGAGGAAATGGTTTTCATTTGTTCTAAAACTTAGTAGATGAGGTGATATATGTTACATCATAAATAATAAAAATAAATTTGAGAATGGTGGTGTTGTTGCTCATCTTTGATCCCAGCGTTCCAGGGGAGAGGCAGGTGGATCTCTGAGTTGGAGGCCAATCTGGTCTACAGAGCAAGCTCCAGGACAGCCAGGACTACACAGAGAAAACTCTGTCTTAAAAAAAAAAAACAAAAACAAAACAAAACAAAAAAGAGAGGGTGGGTAATAAATCTGAGAAGAAGAGGTAGGTCCTGGAAGACACTGCCACCAACCGCTGGTAATTTTGCTGCTTTCTGGTCCTAACTTTCCTCAGCCTTGATGTCTATTAGCAGGTTGTATCAGTGATGAGATCTGCAGCCAGTTTTGCTAGTTCTGTCAACTACATCTGATTGTAAACGTTGGGCAAAAACAGATCCTTCCAAAACAGTGGTCCAGGAAGGAGATGCACTTAAAGAAATGCGCAGTCCATCTTCAGCATATAGTGGGTAAATCACAACAATAGATTTTTCTAAGAATTACCAGCAAACTGTTGTCCGAAGCACTGCTGGGCCGCATTGCCATGCCGGACGTCCTGCCTGCGGAACCGCCTGGAGGAAAGAAAATTCAGGAGATTCTGAGATTTCATTTTACTGGATTTAAAAATACAGCCAAACAAAGTGACAATTCCAGAAAAGTTCTGCTGTTGAAAAAAAAATTATCTGTTATATAAAAGCAGCATAAAATCCAAGGTTTACATTTTTCTTATTTCCAGGCAGTATTTTCAATGGTTCGAAGATCTATACAACACTGTTCTTTATACGTTTACATTTGTTTGAACTCCAGACCCTCAAATACTAATTTAATAAATTTCTCTTTACAGTTTGTTAAACATTTGGTTCAACAAGAAACTCACAGTCTGTAAAGGAATGACAAGTGGTGTGCCCAGTTAAGAACAATAAGAATGTTTATTTGAGTAGAGAATGTAATAAAAAGCCCTACACATAATGAAGTGCAACGAGGAAAAGGATATGCGAATCCAAATATTTTACCTTCCTAGCCTCTCGAGTTTTCATTGTTACCGTTCCTATGACTCTTCACTGTCGTTAAAAATGATGGTGGAATGTT